GCAAAAATACTGTAAAACCATAAAAACAATAATTTGTAAAATGTTATAAGAGCAAATGGTAGTTTTTTTTTATTGTCGTATTTGCGGCGTTTGTAAAAATAAGAACTATCACAACAATAACAGCAGCAAACACAAAAACCATTTCGTTTTACCGTCAAATGAATATATTTTCAATTCAAACCTACGTATAGAGAAAATATCTGTTACACTTTTACTTTATAATACAAATTGAGAAAAGTTTACAAAAAAAAAGCTATAATACTTTTAAAGCAAAAATTATTCATATTGATGAGGATTATATAAGCGTGGAGAAAATAGTGAAATTTAGAACTTTAGATTTAATGCTTATTTTATGTGATTAGCGCTTCAAAAATGTATTTAAAAAAAAATAAACATAACAAAATTTTAGGGAGGGTAAAGTATAATTTCCTCTCTGAAGAAGTCTAGAAAAATGTTAAATATTCAAAAAGGGTAGCAACCCTGTTAAATGATGCCCATTTAGTGGCACTTGCGAAAAATACAACAATACATTTAAATGACAATTACACATAGGGCTTTACACATTAAATGAATTGTTTCCACTAGAAGTTGAACAAAAATAAAAAAGAAAGCAGAGTTTAAACATTATGTTATCTTTATAAATTAGTCACAAATATAAAATAGGTTTATTTACTATCCACAAATTACAAAGCAATAAATGTTTACAATGTGCATTAATTTTTTGCATAATTTATAGGAACCATACTCATCGATTAATATGTCATCATACTCTAAACTTTTTGTGATGTGCGATTCAATATTTAATATAGCGTTACTGTTTATTTAATGCACTAAATAATCGCTCTGGAGAGCAGTTTGATACGGGACAACATAGATACATTCTCAGAACAATATATACATAAGGGTTTGAAGGGTCTTCAAATCCTTCATTTTTAAGTGTTAGATACATCTCTATAATTGATTCACTAACAGAAGATGGGCTATGTACAAATCTGATGGCGCCTCTAAAAAATTACCACCCAGAGCGATCGCCCACCCCCCCGCCCTCTCTACAAACTTCACTGTCGTCTCTCTATATAAATGTATTGCTATAATAACCCATATCGTTGTTAACAATATAACGAAATATTTTCATTGCCTATTTACTCACTCACACATAGCAACCTAGAAATTGACTACGGTCAAAGTGTAATTATTCCCTTTTTTGGGGGGGGTTTTCCTTAATAAAAAATAAGTTTGATCACAGATTTTTTGAGAAAATTGTATATAGATATTAGTGTGTGCTAGATAATATACCTTAGGTCTAATTTCCCCGACCTAAATCCCTAAAACTTTGCTTCGAAAAGTGAAATAAAGAAAAAAATTCTAGCTTTTCTATTCGAAACGATTTAAATTCCACACAAATTTGGAATTAGTTTGACTTGGTAGTTGTAAATCTTAAAATTGCGCCAACCAAATTTTTTTAAACTTTCAGCCTTTTCCCAGGAGGAGGGAGGGTTGTGGAAATTTCGGGGTTTTCCTTGTTGATGAAACTTTTTATATAGAAAATGCTAAGGTTATAGGAAATCGAAAATATTTTCGAAAAACATACACTTGTGCACTTATGAGAATGTTTTAGTCATTTATTTTGCCACCGATAAACTTTTATACGATTTAAGCAGAAAATTACGTCGATCGAACGACAAAAACATTACATACAATTGTCAATGTTCGAATTTCTCATTTTTTTTTTTTTGTGCACATCTTAGTGTTACTTTTTACTTCAAAAATTCGAAGGTCATGGCAAAACGTCTAAACTTGAAAATGTTATCGAATTGGATATACTAAACTTAAGTATGGCTATCGACGGATATTCTCAAAGGAAAATTCTATTACAATTTGGGTAGGGACTCGAGTTGGGCCGAGCTGATTGAATGTGATAAATTCACTTTTTAAAAAATTAATTAAAACCTTAAACTGGTATTTGAGCACTCAAAACTTACTGGGGTCACTCTAAGGGGTATCCATAAGGATATTGGAATGATTTGATAATTTTTTTTTTTAAGATGTAACATGTTATGTGTACATAAGAAGAGTTCTAACTCCAGACAAATTTTCAACTAAAAGGCCACAAAAACCCAAAAAACAACTTGAATCCCGACGCAAGGGGGTGGGAAATGGGTCTGACTTAAATTTAACTCAAGTAAATATTCGTTTTTAGAAATTTCAACTCGATTCGACCATTTTTCTCGAAATTATAGCCAGTAAAAGTTGAAACTTAAAAACTAGTATGGTTTTTTTTTTTTTAATTTTAACTGTAAAGAATCGAATTTTTCCAATTTTTACTCCCTTATAGTTAACAACTAGATAACATTTGCGATTTATAGAGTTGTTACTCGAAGGAATTGATCCAGTATTATAAAAGTTACAATGCATATACAGACAAAAAAAACCTACAGCATAATAAAAATATATTTCATATACCAGCTGTTGACCCTTACTCATTGCAATCTACATATGTACAACCATAAAAATGAAATTCCCCCCTAAATTTTCTTGAATGACAACTTTTTTGAAGCTGTCTAAAAATTATATTCATATTTATCAGACAATAACTGGACATTTATCACTGTAATTATTTTCTGCGAGTTTCTGGAAAAACGGGAAGAATTTAATTTAAAATTTTGAAAATATAAAAAAAACTATAATTAGTATCACTTTGTCATAAATTTTGTTTTTTGCGGTTTGATAATCAAACAAACCAAATACTGTTACTTTTAAAATGTTCATAGTGTTTAAAAAATCTACTTAAATAGCAACAATTGTGATAAAAATTAATTAGGATTAGAGGAAAGAAAAAAGGAACAATTTAAAACAATAGAATTATTCTAGTCACTAAAGCTCATTCACAGTGCAAACTAATCACAAAAACAATAACTGGTTGATAAAATCACTTTGGAAAAATGCATAAAATTGTTAATGTGATAATACCGCCGATAGTATATTTTAATATATTAAAAAATATAAATAGGTATTGATAAAAGCACTGTAAAGACAATGCACTTAAAATTAACCTATAACTATTGCATATAATTTGTAGGAACCATGCCGCACCCTTGAAGCAAGACTGTTACAACTGAAGTTCTGAGGAAATACAACTTAAAGATTGAACCTGCTCCCAAATGGTTAATTTTAACTTTGAAAGCATTAATTTTAATACTTTTCAATTATTTTTTTGTTACCCGGTGCTTGTTATTTTAATTTCAAGCTATTAATTTTTAATGTTTAATAACTCCCAAAGTAATTAGCCAAAACTGGTTATCGACCGGTATACTATTCAGAAAATAATTCTCAGCTTAAATAGTAACTTAAATATGTACATAAGTTACTGTTTAAGATTTTAATAGTTGATAGGCTTATGGAAAATAATTTTAAAAAAAGGTTAATGTTTAGTATTTTTATAATATTATAAAATATGATGACCAAAAATGTTTTCAAAAAAAAAAAATACTACAAAATTGCAATTCTTCTAAAGCGTACTCATTCCATCATTAACCACGACGAAATATTCGGTTTGAGTTCAATAACATTTTTTTTGCCAATTTTAAAAATACCCATTGCTATTTCGTGTTCCGGTCAATTTGAAAATATTTTAAACGGCCGAGACCATGGTGGACAATTTTCAACAAATTAGGGGTTCCGTTTTAGGCCAATACGAATCAGTACGTCAATTAATGATAAGACCATTGCATAGGTGTATAAATTATTTTAATAATTGTTATAGAGTGAGGATTTTGTATAATTTGGCACATTTGCGCATGTGTTTCGCAAAGTTACACCGAATTCAAAAGTAAATAAAGATTTATATGTACGATTTTCTATGGAAGTATTATTTATCGAATTCTCGCCTAAGCATTAACTCGAGAACGTAATTTTTTTACTACAGAAAAACACTTGGGTTGTTCGATGTGCTTTCCCATTTCTACTGTTTATATAAATTGAAATATACGAATCGACAAATTCAACGTCTTTAGAATTGCATGGCCAACCCGACTTATTGACGATTTTCTAGAATAATAAAAAAAAACCATTTACGTGAATTGTTTTTAGTTTTTTTTTTGTAATACAATGTTATTTCAAGGTCATTGTAATTTTTCCCCCTTCGATAAGAGTATTTTAAGGAGGGGTGGTTTTGCAATCTCATAGCAACTTAGATGAATAACAAATTTAGACATTTATATTAATCTATTTTTTGTTTTTCAGTAAAATAGAATTTGATTGGACTTTGAAATTTATAATATAATTTAAAAGAGCCGTAGTCTTTTAATAATAAGTTGGATTATTAGTATTTTTATTGTTATAGTACACAAATAGTCACGTTTGCATTAGTCTTAGTAATTGTTCAGACTCAAACGCCAAAACAGTTCACTAAACTACCATAATCTACTATGCAAGGTTCCACTCTAAACTCAATGGTCATCCGAACCGATTCTTTTACAACCTGCCTACTAGTAAACGCGATATTATGATACCGACCGCTCGGACCAAACCTAACCTAACACGAGTCGATGTTACCAACCGACAGTTATTAGCGTTTGTTCGTTTCTCACATCTGTTACACAATGTATGCAATTGGTCCAGTATTTAAAAATTTACAGTGTATACAGATAAAAAAAAGCCCACATTAAAGTAAAACCAGTACCTTCGCCGCTCTGCATCGAAGCTAAAAACTATACATAGTCGTTTGTGAACATTACAGAAAATGTTATTTTTATTTATAATGCATTAAAATATTCAAAGAACCTACTGATAATGCGGTCAAGTGGATAACGACACTAGACATCTAACTATCTTGTTTATTACTTTATTAATATATATATATATTTATTTTGCGCATAAGTAACTAAAAATAGTAATAAGTTAATTGAATATATGTATTTATTAAGCAATAAAATTGACAGTAACCTATAATAATAATATGTAAAATACCGCTATTAGTTCCATATAGAAGTTGGACTTCGGGCGAATGGTGGCGCTATTTCCGATTTAAAAGCGACAACATCGACTTCCACGGTTTTTTGATGATGGAATCTAGCGATACTTGATCGGGTGCCTCCAAATATTTTAAATTAAATGTCTACCAAAAAAAAAGTTTTTTAACAATGTCTAGAAAACAATCTTAGATCAATTATTTTACTCTGTCAGTATCTGAAGATTGAACGCCAGTAATACGTATGTACACTACCAGCCTTTGTTCAAATTGCAACGACTGCCACGATCGGCACGATTTATTGGATTTATCGATAATCATGTCCCAATCTTTATGATTGACTGAAACATGAACAGTGTAACCGTAGGTATACTTATGGCGGTCATAAAGCAGTATCCTATAAATAATGACATAACTAATATAATCATAATCTTATTGCCACAGTTGACCTAAAATTATTTTTAAATATATTTCAGGCACAAAAAATATTATAATTAAATAATAGAAACCAAAGTAAAAAGTAAATATTCTGTAAACGATTACCTCATTGAACTTAGCACATACGGTTGTGCGAGTTGAACCTCTATACACCCCAAATTCACCTCGTGATATGTATATCCACGATCAAAAAGGAAGTTTTTATAGTCATCATACAAAATGTTGTTTTGAATCTTTTCGAGCGATTTCTCCATTCTGTAGATAATCCAATTTGGAATTCCTTTGATTACAGTCGCATCCATAGATGGTAAAGCAACATTGTACTTTGGAGCTAATAGGTTAAAATCAGTTAATTAGATAAATAAGTTTTTTTTTATATTATTCAAAGAACGAGTTATTTTCGTTTTGTCCTTACCAACTAATCCGTTTTTGATTTCCACCAAGTGCAATTTGTCCGTATTGTACATGACTTTTAAAATTTTAAAAGTAAAAGTCTTATTAAGGGTATTTTTAGTGCCAACAATACGGATGTATCTAACATATATTCGGTTAATCCACAAACGTTGAGTTGACCGACAATCGTAATTTGAATGATCAATCACACGAAACCAACTGTACTTATCTATTGATACTTCAATGTAATAGGAGAAATTCCTAAAGAATTAAATAAGTCGATCAAATGAATGGTTGTATTTCTTTTTATAAATATTGATGGCAAAAAAGCAAATCATGTATTTAAATAATTGTTTTGCAATATAGTTTAAAAAAATTATTATAAGTCGGTGCATTTACAATTTTTTTTATTCATGAATAAATTAAATTAACAACTATTAAAATAAATCATGAAAAAAAAAATTTTAATCTTGTTGGTATTCAAATGATATTATACTAAATCTTTGATTAGAATATTATTAAATAAAAACACACCAATCATATAATTCCATTTCGATATAGTTTATACTCGATGGTTGATTCAACATGATCATGGTACTGCCGTCAATATGAAAATGCTCTATCGAATCTTCTTGAGCGAAATTCACATTTGGTTCTAAAGAATAAAGTAGTTGATACTAAAATATTTTGCCTAACATAATATGATATTTACATTGAGCATACCCAATCGTCCTCGATTATTTAACGTTTGTGTGAGGGACTTCTTTATGACATCTAAAATAATTATATTCGAACGAACCAGCTCTGATCGCCTAACTTCAGACAGTTCTTCTTCATCCATTAGCTGATATCTGACGGCCGATAAAATGTTGGTTTTATCGTTAAGATGAAGGTGGTCTTGGTTCTTTTTGATCCAGTGACAAACCGCACGGAATATATCCAATTCGTTAGCATACGCCGTGTCACGATTGAGAATTAGAATTAATGCTTCCTAAAAATAATATTACTGTGACAACTAGTTAGCTAACAAGAGCAATACTGATTTTTATTATAAAATATAATTACGGCCGACAAAGAGCAAGAATCTTTAGATTGCAATACGTCCAAAGCGTGTGTGTCAATAAAATTGATTGATGCGACTTCGAGTTCTTTGAGTTGATAGTAAAATGCCACAACAAACAATGCACTCACACTGTCTACATTGATGTGATTACACAAGTACTCGGACAGTGAAAATTGTAAGTTTGTAAAACGCCATATATTCGAGAGAATTAATAACTCCAAAATGACGTTACTCTAATACATAAAAAATACAATATATATATATTCGACAAATCCTTTTCTATAAAATATAATTATATACTAAATATATACATTACAAGTTACCTCTAGTACTCTTAAATTCATTTTACCGTAATAAATATATTTAAGAAGTTCTTTAATTGATGTTGATGATCCTTCCTTTATTGTCACAACCTTTTTATCAGCTTCTTCATATCCGCCACGCAGTAAACCACTAAAGAAGGTATCCAATATTAGCATAAAAAAATGCATTGTATGTGCTACAATCAGTAGGCACATTGTATGGACTACTCAATTTACTTTCGTTTTGTTTGATTATGTTAGATTATAATGAACAGCTATGTAATAAGTCATACAATCAGTTTGCATAATTTCTATATCACTTGTTTACTTGTTTTACAAAAATATATTAATGTTGTCATAAATGACGAGTGTAATTCAAGATGCAACCGAAGAGATGATAGATAGAGAACATCGATTAAAGAAACCGTGGTTCAATAAAATCTGCGAAGAAGCCATACAGAAGAGAAAGATCGCAAAGAATAATTGGCTAAACAATACGGAAAATATGGATAAATTGATACAGTACAAGACTAGGCAAAGGGAAGCAAGTTATATACTTAGATGCAAGAAAAGAAAACGTGCACAAAATTTAATAAGAGAAGCAGATCAAGATTATTCAAGTCACAAAACTCGTAACTTATACAAGAAGATAAATGCTCTGAGTAAAAATTACAAGCGATCCGAGAAATTTCTTAGGAACGAAGAAGGTACATTAATCACGGCCGATGATGAACTATCAGATAAGTGGGTTAGATACTTTGGCGAGCTCTTAAATTGTCCAGAAACTGAGGATCCATTCCCATTGAATGATTCCCAGAGAAACCTAACAAATTGCCCAGCCCCAACAAAAGAAGAGATTTTATTGCAAATATGGTTTTTGAACAACCACAAAGCCCCTGGAGAAGATGGAATTACCGGGGAACTGTTAAAGAACATGGAAAATGAACTAACTGAGTACATATATTTGTTGGTAAAGGTAATTTGGGGAAAGGAAGTGATTCGGGAAGATTGGAAAACGGCAATTATTTGACCTATTTACAAGAAGGGGGTTAGGCAAATGTGCAATAATTACAGAGGTATAGCCCTACTTAATGCCACTTATAAAATATTGTCAAACTGTATTTTGGACAGAGTGAGACCATGGGCAGAGGAATTACTGGGAGACTACCAGGCAGGCTTTAGGAAAAAAAGATCGACGATTGGCCAAATATTCATATTAATACAAATCTTACACAAGATGAGAGAATTTAATAAAGAAGTTCACATGTTATTTATTGATTTTAAAAAGGCCTACGACTGCATTCATCGTGAATTTTTAATGTCTATACAAGAGCAATATGGTCTCCCACTAAAATTAGTCAATCTCATAAAGGCGAGCGTCATGAACACGGAAATAAAAGTACAGGGAAGAAAACTCCTTATCAACAGCAGCCCAAGTCAGAACAGGATTCAGACAAGAGGATGCATTATCGCCGATTTTATTTAACTTAGCACTGGAAAAAGTGGTTCAAAGCACTAGCTTCGAACAAAGAGGAGTACAAATACATGAGACAAAGTTTGGACTACTGGCGTACGCGAATGATTTAATGCTATTAGCAGAAAATAAAGAAGAGCTCATTGAACAAACTCAAGAATTACTTGAGACAGCAAAAAGAGTTGGGTTATAAATAAACGTGGAACAAACAAAGTACATGATAGCTCAGAGGGCGATTTTGCCGGAGAATATACACACTCATCTGGAAGTGGAGGCATATAAATTTAACAGAATTCAGGAGTTCAAGTACCTAGGTACACTTATAACTCAGAGTAATGAAATACAAGAGGAGATAAAAACAAGAATACAGGCAGGCAATAGATGATATTTTGGATTGAACAAGCTGTTTAAGTCGAGAATGTTGGCTAAGAGCGTAAAGGTAAAACTGTATAGAACTCTTATTCGGCCAGTGGTGATGTATGGATGCGAAACTTGGACGCTTCATAAGCCACAACAGAATAACCTCTTAGTACTTAAACGAAAAGTTTTGAGGTCGATTTTTGGCACTTGCACAAATAGGAGTACAGGAGAATGGAGAATTAGACATAATGTGGAGATTAGGGAGCTATACCAGAAACCAAACATAGTCGACGATATAACAAAGAGGCGGCTCTTTTGGGCTGGCCATGCATGGCGAAAAGAAAGCGCTCTTATATACAGAGTACTATGTGGCTCTTCAGAAGGTGTAAGACCACTTGGTAGACCAAGGTTGAGGTGGGAAGACCAGGTGTCAAAAGATGTGGAGCGGGTTAAACCGGATGCTGATTAGCGAGTCCTAGCACAAGATAGAGGGAAATGGCATGGAATATGTTTGTCAGTTTGGTTTTAAAATCCGTCAACTATGAAGAAAAGAAAACAATTATCATAAATATTTATAAGTGGTAATGGTTCATAGTATCCATTTATATCAAGCAAGTAAACTAACAATTATAGATTACAAAACATTAAAAAATCTTAAGGCAATCGATGTTGCTGTTTTTAAAAAACATTTAGGTTGGTTGAATAGGAAATAAGTGAGCCTAACCAAACCGTAAACATTAAAAATATGCTTTTCTAAAAAGTAGAAAAAAGGAAAAAAAAATTTTACTATTAGAACAATTTACCAAGCAATCAAAAAAGAAAATAATATGCTAAAAAATATTATTACCTGAAATAATCACTGCGTGAGGCTAACACAGCACGATGCGCGGGGAACTTTTTTTTATCTACAACTAAAACAACATCCGAAAACCTAAAATAAATATCAAAATATATAAGTAATATACTTATAAATAATACAAATGAATAATAATTTATGTATAATTTTAAATCTTTAAAAATAATTCAGAGAAATTCCAAAAAAAAATTTAGTTATAAGCTGCTTGTGTTCTTTATATATTTAATACTACGTTTTGATAAATTATATACATTTTGTATTCATATTTAAGGGAGTGTTTCAGAGATAGCTAATTAAGTATAATTGATGTTGATGTTAGTATTCATAGCATATTCCTATTAATTGTAGAAATAAATAGTTTTAAGCTGATACTTCAATAGAACTATTTATACTAATAATAATCATACACGCTTTTACTACAACATAAATAAAATATCCTGCTTTAAGGATATAATGTTATAAATTGAATGGCATTAAGCAGAAAGCAACCAATCCACAAAAAAATCGAGATTTTAGTTTATCTAGAGTAGCTTAATATAAACCCAACGTTTGTAAGTCAAAATCTATAAGAATCGTCATGGTTACGAAATAAGTTGATTAATCTATTAACGGCAATGTTTTGGGGGGTCAGCTGGACACTGATAGATCTATCATTAATAAAAAATAAGTGACGAAATTTAGGTCTATACATGATAAAGTAATTCCTTCTATTGTTAATTGTAAACTTAAATGTTGTTAGATATAAGATTATGATTTTTCTATAGTTGAATTTGACTGTACTATAATTTAAGCTCTACTTATATGTGATAATTAAAATAAACTTAGATTAATTAATTGTGTTAACGATACTGATAAAAATATTAAAATATAAGTTTAGTGATATTGTTGAAGCCCCAGGCAGCCTTCGTATATAATGTCATATACACGTTGATCACAGTGTCCAACATATAATAGGCGCTCCAAGAAAAGAATCTTCTTCTATATATAATCTACTTATAAAAGAACTAAACAATATATGTAAATCTATAGTATTATAAAAGGTAACGACTTCAACGGAATAGGTTAATTCATTTAACCCGATAATTAAGAAGAATAATAGGTCTGGATCCAAAAAATTTGAAAAAAGCCAAATTCTTGAATCTAGCTGTAGATTAAAAACAGTTAATCAAAATTAAAAAAGAAACTTCTAATGATTTTTAAAAAGTGCACGTTTAGAAGGTTTTATGATATAAAGCTTAAAACTGAAAATGGTATAAGAGAAATAGAAAACAAATTATTATTTACATTGAAATATAATGAAGACTTAAGATGAGAATAAATTGCAGTAAAAAAACTAATTCTCCCATAGTTCTTAAACAGACAGTAAACAGATATGGTAGGAAATAGTAAAATTTAAGACATATTTATGTTATTTGTTCATCATTTGTAAGTCTGTATTATTTATTTTTATCCTGTTATGTCCCTAAAAGTTTTTGACATTTTCATGTCTTAACTCTGGCACGCAACCGAAAAAAGTGTTATTTACTTAGTGTTATCAAAAAAGCGTTACCACACGGAGTTGGGGTTGAGGGTGGGAATGGAAATGGGATGGGGTTGGGGTGGAAGATAGGGGTAGGAGATAGTGGGATAGAGATAGGGATGAGTGATAGAGGTGGGAGTAATATTGAAGGATATGTTGTATTCACAACGATCAAATTATAGCTGAAAAATAATTTCAATGTAATTTAACAGGTTAATTTCTTGTGAATTGTTTTGGGCCAGATATTATGAAAACACTAAACTATAAAATATTAGCCAGAAACTTGACATGTTTACTAGCCACCTTAGACACTAGCTTGTTAATATACTCTAATTTTATTCGATACTTCAACTAGACATGAAAATGCTCTTTCGTGGTTGCAGACTCAGCTGAAAAACTTTTTTAA